AAGAACGCATGTGCACACGAACACCTACACACTTGTGAGTCCTACAGTATTTGAAATTTTGGAAATTATCCTAAAAATAAAAAATCTCAGGAAATTTAACAATTTTATAATATTCAAAATTTTTGGAATTTTCGTTTTTTTCTAAACCTGTGAAAATATTCAAACTTGCTGTGACTTTCAACTGTGTAAAATAGTACACATTCGAAAATACAACAAAAAAAGTAAAAATTGATAATTAAATACATAATTTCAAAACTTTGAAAATTCAGTGATTTCGAAAAACTGATAGGCCTTCACAAAAAACATAATACTTCAAGCTTAGCTCATAGCTGAAATTTGACACATTTTTTCAAAGAGTTAAAATTTTCAAAAGCGTCCATTCATTACGTTTGTTCCCCAAGCTACTCAAAGTAACTTCACTTTCCCCAATTTCTTAATGGAAAGGGCCAGTTTAAGAAGAATACTTGCAAAGTGGTCATGTAACCTAAGCTATTTTCAGGGTCAAGGGAACGTCCATGTGTGTACGATGAACAAGGAATAATTAGGTCTCCTCCAAGATATACGCTTCCCAGATAGCAATCCATTAGAGCATAGCTAATTCGCTAATGAGGCGCGGCAATCTGATATCGTTAATCTAATGATAAGAAATTCGAAAGCGGAATAGGCTATTAAAACTTTTCGTCGCTACAAATCACCGGAACATCCACGCGGCAGATTTTCAGCAATTACGGGTTATTATCTCTCTGATCATTGCGGTTATTACAAGAAGCTGTCTTAACGTTGGCTATGTGGCGGTAGGCTGGAAAGAGTCGAACGCCGCCTCTACACCCAAGGGAGGTAGACCCTCTCATACTTATCCCAAAAAATTTAGACCCATTAGTCTAACGTCTTTCCTGGGCAACGCTTTAGAAAAGCTAGAGGTTGAATATATACGGAGTATGATAACAACTAGCCTTTTCTCACCATCACAGCATGTCTAGACGAAAGACAGATCTACGGAAACCACCTTGCACTCGCTAGCCGGGTTAATGCAAACGCCATAACGCAACCCTTAGAAAATTTTGAACGTAACACTAACGTTGAGGCTACGCTCATCAGAAGAAACATTTCCGCAAGGTTAGGCAACACCACTCTAAGCAGACAGGTCTGCAGAGGCACCCCTAAGGGAGGGTCAAAGTCAAATATCTACATTTCCAAATGAATATTCTGCGCTCTAATATGGTCACGCTTAGAAACAAGACAGAGGGTAGGGGACTCGGAATAAATCCCAATAAAACTGAAGTAATTCTCTTTACAAGGAAACCTACGTTTCCTACAATCCGCCCGCTAACTTTCAAGGGTATAGAGATTTCTTGGGAAGGGAATGTTAACCATCTAGGACTCATATTAGACAGGAAGTTTACGTAGAAATTTTATATTTGTATGTAGAGGAAAGAGTTAAGAAGACCAATGTTGAATTACTTTTATACATTTGTTTCCAAGCATCTCAAGTGCTTTAAGAACTAACCCAAACAGAGCGCGTAAAGTCCTAACCTATTTGTCTGCAGGAAATCTACTAAGAAAACAGGTATGAGACTATGGAAATGGCAACGGTTCCGCTACGCTTTTATATATTACATTCTGTGTAGTTATAACCACGAAATCGACTACTCCATTTCTAAACCCATCATCGGTAGGCCCTTTACGTCGAATAAAACGTCATGAAGAGAGTGGCTAACACCGGATCATGGAGAAGGGAGTATTGCATATATTCCTACGCGGACTACTGCAATGTTTATCAGGCGGAAGTTCCATATATAAAAGAGGGGATATTTATGTTAATAAACATGCCGTAACGAGGAAAACGATTCATGTCTTCTCAGAAGGCCAGGCGTCATTAAATCAAGGAATGCGGTAATGCTAATATCAATGGTTGCACAGGAATGACTGGCAGTTCTAAACGATATAAGCACCGTCTTCAAGGTCAGATTCATATGGATACCGGGAGATATTGATGGAAATTTCAGGGCCGATGAGCTAGCCAAGGAATATAATACAAGGTCTTCCACTGCATGAAACCAGAGGTAAAATTAGGGTACAGAGATTTGGAAGGCAGTTGTCAGCTTTACCTCAGAGCAGAGCAGGCTTTTTAGGTAAACAGTTCTTTAGGAATAAACCAATCCTACATTTCATAAGAGCTCCCGTGTTTCACATTGTTATCATACGATCTACGAGATCTAAGTGAATTGGTTATTTTAACTGACCAGCACATTAAGCTAACCTAACCTAAGAGTACTTACATATATATGTAGTACTGATCAGAGCTGCCATTTATCAGCGTATCAAATGCGGAAATAAATTTAAGTGTGCCATGTAAAAATTCTTCCAAAAACCTTTTCAGTTCGAACTTACCGTTGCTTTTTCGGCGATTGCATTCACACAAGTGTAGGTAATATTAAACAAAGCACTCACCCATAAATACTTACATACAATTCATGCTAAATTCTTATGAACTCGGAATAAGTAACTTCAGTTGCTTAGCGGAACAAATTTTTTTTTGGGAAATTTGAAAACTTGAGTCATCCAATTGTTTTCGCAAAATAACTAAAGGAGAGGTTACAAATTTAAACATTTTCAAGATCATTCGATGGACATGAATTTTTACTGCGGCTTATAAAGGTTATAAAGTGCATTCCATTGATATAAACGCTTTTGTTTAAATTGCATTATCTCATATAATTTATTTGCCACATTTTGCTTATTCGCGTATTTTTCCTCTTTCTCATTTAATTTGCAACAACATTCAACAAAAAACAAACTATAAAATCACAAAAATGCTACTATCAATTCATCAACCAATTAAACACATACCGCCCCCCACTTGCTGTGCCCAATGAAATTAAAAAAAAAAAAAAAAATACATCCAACATTGTAAACATTTACTTCTGTACATACACTCTGAACCACCTTGCGCGCAGCTTCCTCACAAACGCCACGTACCGACTGCCACCACAACGGCAACGTTTACAAATTTCGTGAACGTTTGGAGATCGGCTGCGAACAGATCTGTCACTGCGATGAAGGCGGTGTGATGAATTGCAAACCACGTTGTCCGGAGCGCAATCACACGCGCCTCGATAAGTGTGTGTATGTGAAAGATCCCAAGGACGTATGCTGCCAACTGGAGTTGTGCGATGTCACACTCGACGATCACGAACAGACAGCATCCCCACCCACAGCGCAAAATTCGATTGGCGACGAGCAATATGGCCCCGAGGAAGCGCGTGATCTCTCCGGTGGACACGAGCAGCTCGATTGCGAATACAAGGGACAACATTACCGCGATGGTCAACAATTCCACGATGGCTGCGAACAGCTATGCATTTGCACGCTCGAAGGTGTACACTGCGCCAAGCTGCAATGCCCCTCAACTTTCGGTTTGGATTTGCTCAATCCACATTGCTTGCGTTGGGAACCGGAGCCAGCTGATTTTGAAGCCAAGGCACCGAATTGCTGTCCGGAGAAGATGCGTTGTGTGGATAACGGCACCTGCGCTTACTTGGATCACACATTCGACAACTGGTCACCCATACCGACCAATCTTACTGGTGAGTAGCGTTATAAGCGCAAGCGCAAGCGCACACGTACTGTACATTTAATTTACACTAACAATGCTATCAATTCAAACAGTCAATTAACACTAACCGCATTTTCTTTTTTCTTTTCTTATTTTTTTTTTTACATTTCTCATTCACGCTGCGTTCGCCTCATTGCGTTGCTTCCGTGTGACAGGTTGTGAGCAGCATTGCTATTGTGAGAACGGTAAAGTTGAATGTCGGCCAGCTTGTCCGCCCGTGCTTGCCTTGCCGCCGCCCGATTTGCCCTGCCATCCGGCACAGGCACGTATTCTGCCAATTCCAGACGATGAGTGCTGTAAACACTGGGCCTGCGCGCAATTTGCGCCCAAACTGAGTGGCGGTGATGGTGTTGAGACTTCCACTGCGTTGCCACCACCAATGCATGGAATTAATGATCTAAGCGGTAAATATTGGAAACAGTTTTTAAGTTATATAACATCGTAGCTCGTTTCAAAAGGTTTGCAGGTGAGGGAGTAGGCTTAGGTAAACAACGGCATGCGAATTATTGGGATTTATTTAGGAACTTTTAGCTTTAGGGTTGGGTAGCTTGCATGAAATGCCCAGCGCTTAATCCATGAACGCATGAGCAAATATGGTCGACTAATGGACCTCGAAATCTTTTCAACTTATTTTTAAGATATAAATTAACCCCCAGAAAATTTTTAACTTCTTTTTGTGTAGCTTAGCAGAAAATCTGTAATTGCGTCTACTGGGTCCAAAGGTCCAAATCAAAATTTCTGGACTATGTCAGGACCATTTCGCGATTTGTTCCCGACTAGTCTTGAGCCATTTCGGGATCGTTTTGGGACATGTTCGGGATCATCTCGGTGCCTATTCAAGACTATTTTGGGGCTAATTCAGGACTATTTGAGGACAATCTGGGCAGTAGTTCGTGATCATTTCGAGATTTGTTCAGGACTATTGCAGGAACATTTAAGGACTCGTTTCGGATTATTTTGGAAGTATTTAGGACATGTCGAGACTCTTTCAGGACTTACATATTTAGGAACATTTTGGGACTAGTTCGGGTTCAGTTTTGGACTATTGAGGTACCGAAATGGTCCATTTAAAGACTTGTTCGAGACAATTTTAGAACAAGTTCGCGACTTATTTGACCGTTTTGACAGTTTCGAGGCCTTTTAAGTACTATTTCAGGGTAATTTCGAGCCTATTTAAGGCCCATTGGGGACTAGATCGGCACTGTATCACGCATCAAATTTTATGATTACCTGGTGCTCACGGCTGTTTTTTTAAGCCTCTTCTAGCCTAGCTTTTTTCCAAATTTTGTATACCTCCCAAAAAATAGATTTTCTCAAAGCACTCAAAATGAACGTACGTTTTAGAAAGGGTCACCTCGTTCAACCGAAATATCTTACCAGGGAGCCAGCCGATCTAGCGAAAACATTGCTGGCAGACAGACCCACTTTGTCATTGGTACCAGTTCACATGCAGAAGTGCACTGTTTGGCTATTCCTTGGTCTACAGCTACAAACACTCCTTTGAAGTCGTCACACGGTTGCTCTTATGATCGAGTGTGAACAGTCGCGGCATCCATCGTGCGGATTACTTTTTCATGTCCAAGAGATACCTTTATTTTCAGGATTCGATCGATGACTTCCGTCGTGACGACCTCTTTGAACGAACTCAACATCCTACGTTACTTGTGCTGGTACCATAACAACGGAAATCAATAAACCACTTATTATTCATTGAAATCGATGGTTCAGCACAGCATTTATGAAGCTTTCCTTGGGCCTGAATTGGCGCCTATCTATCTGAGAAAATGTTTACGGACGATCTCGCGGTTGAATGGTGTTTTAGGCATTTTACCGTAACTAAGTAAACACTTCAGTTTGCCCAATGATAGTCCTTGAACCTACTTCGTATTCCAACTTCAATTCGTCAGTAAGTGAAGCTACGCGCTTCAAACTCTGAGTCTCAATACAGCCACAGCGGCTCGGTTGCGGTGCGCGGGGTTTATAGTTGTTCAAGGTATTTAGTATGGTGCAGTCGGTAGGCAGCGGTTTTCCAGAACCCTAAACCCTGACACCTGCCTCCGTTTGGGTAGGATGTCATTGCACTCGGTGTACAGCAGCTGGACACTGAGTTTGAAAGTCACCAGATTGGTGCTCCATATGAAATACTAGTTTTTGAAGACAGGTAGGGCCAGACAAATTCAGTCGGTGATGACATCCCCTGTTACCGTGCTGCCACAGGACATTCTTCTCAGCTCTAAAGATTTTCTAAGCATTTAGTCTTGTTGGCCCATAGTACTTGAGGACAAAAAAAAAGAAAAAATAATAGAAGAAAATATTCATTTCCCATTCGCAGAATTTCCAGACTCTTTGATAAATCTGAATACAACTGCAAATAAAACCCTCTATACTATTGTGCTCGTCTCATCATATTCTGCCGCTTGGATTATGTCTAAAAGCCTCTTTTCCAGGGGCCTTAGAACAGCTTGGCAATCAGCTCCATTTCCATTTTTCGTGTTGGAGTCATCAGTATATAATATTTTTGTAGAGCTCCCGAATAGAGTACCTTCATCTTTCCATTCTTCACTTGGGACCAAAAACGAAGGGTATTGTTCGGGCAACCTTCTAAATAACTCTCTGTGCATGAAACTAGTATCGCCGTGCAACAATCCAAACAGCTAGATCTAATGTTGTACTAATAGTGCCCGTAATGTCAATACACACTCGTTTGCAGTTTGTTTATCATAGAAATCGTGGTTTTGACCAAGATTCCTCGCCGCCATACTACAGCAGAATATGTGATGCTCACTTTGAATGAAGCTGCCCAAACCAAAATTACTACAGCTGGACTCAGACCATAAGCCTGACACTGTCCGCAAATGTTCAATACTCGATTCTAATTTCAGCTTGACGCAAGTTTGAGACCTTCAAATTTTTTCTCAGCGGATGACAGCAAGATTATGCACAGTGCATCATTAATTCATCTCAATCAGAATTACCTGTAATTTTTCTACAGGCCTGGCGCTAGTGCACAAGCATCATCAGCCTCAGCTTGAATGTGGATCGCAGTCTTGCATTTCCATTAATAGATAATCGTTCAGAACCGCCAAATGCCACAAGGGAGCGGTGCAGCCATCCTAGATTTTTTCGGCTACATTTAGCTTTTTCTATTTAGGTTCTTTTTAGGTTTAAAAAAAAAGTTAGCTTTTTTAGCTATTTACTTCCTTCACTATATATATTAACCAAGGACATGAATTTAATCAAAAGAAATACCAATGCTGTCATTGTTTCGAAATTTTGCAAAATCTCTCCGAAATAATGTACATTTTTCATTCTAACAAATATGCCCGGTTTCAAAAGTCATAGGCTTTCGTGCACTCAAATGAGTGGACGAGAGGCAGTCGTTATGAAAAAGCACTTGTGAACTGCAAGATGAATGAGTGAAGATTAACGGAAGGGTTGGTAAACAGATTATTTGTGTAGTGAGCTCTCCACCAACCCCAAATATAGGCTTCCAGACCTCTATCGCGTTTTCCAGGCAGAGGTAGCTGCCATTAAAAAGTAGTTAATTGTAGTAAATATGAGTCAGGGCCCTATGTTCGCCCACTGTGCGCGCAAAGCTAATAGGGTTATGCTTGACCTCTCCTTCAATTACCTCTTATGATTTCCCAATCAGACCATAGCGATATTGCAGGCAATTACATTGTGTGGGTTGGCCAGGAAAATCACCATCGAATCGATCTTACCGAAAATATTGAGATGGTGAGTACCTTCTCGGTCCCATAAAGCCGAACCTCTAAATTACGGAGGGTGGATTGACGTTACGCTGTCCAGTCAGACTAAATACCACACAGGATCCTCAATATCCCAGCTGTATAGTCGATGATAGGGAGGAAACATCTTTAAACTTTCTCCTAACACATTAAATCGTACTGTCTATCCAGTCCTAAGGATCTCTTCGGGATTGACATCTGTCGACTGCGAAATATCTTTCGTTTAAAGCATACATCGTGTTTATCTTAAACTTAGCAGTTAGCTTCCTCTTCTTAGCTTTGTTTTCTTCGCCGTTTAGTATTTTTTCTGAAAAAGTTCTGGTAACACTGCAAGGAAGGCCAACCCGTGTCATGGTGCATGGGCTATATTTTTCTATATATCTATTTTATCTATTCCGGATAACATGAAGTGGATCCATGTTATGATTGTTTCGACAACATAAGCAAAGTAGAGTTTCAAAACGTACTCTCAACTTGCCTCTTATTTTATGTTAATCCGCAACCTCCCCTCGGTCTATTTTTATTTCAAAGTCTTTGCGTGTTCACGAGACATTCCCATCTACTAAAACCTTAGATTTATAGGGCAATTCTGGCTAAGATAGTTGTAAGTCTTGTGAAAGGCAATTTAAAGACAGTAGGCAAGATTGTTTGAAAAGTTTTGTTTATTCTGCCACGAAAGTCTTACATATAAAAGCTCCCTTGCTAAATTGGCAGTGAAAAGATTTTTTCAACAGTTCCAAATGGAGATTTACTGTATATCAATAGCCGAGTGAACAAAGCACTGAGTACGAATCTTCGGGCAGTGGAATTATTATTTTTATTTCATTGCATTTTCTTTCAATTTTTGGGTTTTAGTTTTTTTATGGAGACTAGACATTTTTCAATATCATTTAAATGTTAGAAACTTATTTTATGTATTTTGTATTTTTTTAGATTTCATTGTTTTAAAAAGAAAAACATATGCATTTTTTATTATTTAGATTTAGATTTAGGCGAGTATTTTATTCATTTATTTTATATATATATATATTATTTTTTAATGCAATTTCCCTTTAATTTTGAGATTTTATTGTTTTAAAAAGAATTTTTTTTTAATGTCATTTAATTTTTAGAATTTATTGAGTATCCTTTGTTCAATTTAATTTTTTATAAATTCTAGGCTCTATTGTTTCAAAATGAAAATGTTCTTTTGATTTCAATTAATTTTCAGGAACTTATTTAATTTTTTTTTTTAATTTAATTAGTTTTCAACTTTTATGTATATATTTTAATTTCATTTATTTTTTTAGAAAGTTATTATTTTTTCTTCTTTTTATTTAATATTTTTGTAAGTTAATTACCTTTTAGTTTTTAGATTTTACTGTTTTAAAAAATATTCTTTTTATTTAATTTAATTTTTAGAAAATCATTTTTCAATTTTTTTATCATTTTTATTCTTCATTGTTAAAAACAAAATATATATATATTTTTAATTTAGTATTTTGCCGGCTCGAGGTGAATTTTAAACAAATGTTTTATGAAAATACAAGTTTTTTTGGTGTTTCTTTTCGATATATTTCGGTTACGCTTCGGTAACCGTCCTCTGGACAAATTAGTTTACACGTCCGCACTGTTTGACGTGGAGTTTGGAACTTGCGTTTTCATAAAAAAAAATAAAATTTTAAATTGACCTCGAGCCTGCAAAATACTAAATTATAAGTAGAATGGTCGCTAAAACCATCAGTATATATTTTTAATAATTTAGATTTTAGAAACATATTTTTTATTTGAGTTTTTTCTTTTCTAATTAAATTTTCCTTTAATTTACACATTTTGTTGTTTTAAAAACAAAAGTTCTATTTAATTGAAGTAATAATTTTTTTTTATTTTATTATTTTTTTATTGAATTTGCCATTATTTAGTATTTAGATTTTATTGTTTCAAAAAGAAATTGTTTATATCATTTACGTTTTAATATCCTGTTATTAATTTTTTTTTTATATAATTTTTTAAATTTAATTTTCTTTTAGTTTTTGTATATTATTGTTTAAAAAAATATATTTAAAAAAAGTATATTTATTCATACATATATATTTTTTTTGTATTTTATTAAATTTTTTGAGAACTGTTATTTAATTACTTGTCATTTTTATATTTTTATTTATGAAAAAAATATTCTTTTAATTGTATTTTTAGAAAACAAAATATCGCCTCCTCCTAAGCAGATCTTTCCATTAAGTCTTTCTAAAGACAAAAAAGAGTTTTCAAGATAGTTGCCAGAATTGACAATTTTCTTACGAAAGACTTTTGCCTTAGTAAACATACATACATTACCAAATTCCATGGGGGACTTTGGGGTTTTTTATTCCCTATCTGTGTCTTCGAAAGTAAAAAATATTCTTCCTCTTTACGAGTTTTAAATTTCTACAACCAAATTGAGCCGAGAAAATTTCGATATCATTTACTTGAAAAGGAGTTCGAATTAGAATCCGCATTTGGAAAATTTCCGTTAGATGTCAATAAATTACTAAAAAAAAATAGTCATAGTAATGCAAGTATTTCACCAGATATTTTAGTCTTTAGGTAGTAAGAAATAGCAAGAATTTAGTCCAAATGTTGCATGCAGATATCTTCAAGACTAACCTTTCTCTCCTTATATAAATAGCGCATAGCTAATTTTTTTACGATTTAATATCGATTTGAGACATTTTTGAAATATTTTCATAAACTTCATTTCATATGTGCTAATAAATAAAACACCTAAGCATGATTACGTCATTAGATCAGATCGTTTTTGGTTGGTAAAAAATAAAGCTATCGTTACATATGTATATGTAGGTCCTTGTGATCGCTGATTGTTTAGGACTATTTACATTTGCTTTTTTCGGGTATTTTTAATGGAACTCAAATCATTTATTATTATTTACTAAATTCTAATTTATTATTTGTACTTTTTTCTTTTATTCGTAACTCTTAATGCGCTTCATATTGTCTTGTGCACTTACACAAAATCGCATCTAAATGCAAACTTTAAATCTAAATAAATAAAAAAATATTAACATCATCGAATGCATAAAATCAAATCGTCTTCTTGTAAATAAACAAATCGCCAATGTCACTTAACGTCATAACAACAACCTGTCTCTATCCGACGCATCATTCAACATTCCGCACAGCATCCACCACCGAGCAACCGAACACCACCGGCAGCAGTACAGCGCACGTCTCCAGCGATAAAAATGATATTTACCCAGGCAAAGCGCACGAGAAACCCGCACGACCTGGCGACGCCTTCTACCCAACCCTCGATGGCAAACCGCCAAAGGGCGCCTCAGCATTTGGTGAACTGCGGCCCGAGAAACACGACAAACATGAAAAGTTCGTAAAGAAGCCAGTCATTGTGAAGCCGCAACAGAATGAAGTCAAATACGACGTACACGAGCCGCAAGATGAGCAAGACACCGCGCCACCGGGCTTTGTACCCATACACATTGGCAGACCTGGCGGCGCCATTGTTAATTACAATCCCCACCTGCCGCCAGCTGGGCATCCCGGCCCATATGGCTTCTACAATCCCGCACAGCCACCAAAGGATCATTTCGACCCCTACAATCCTTACGAACCCTACGATATTAGTCCAAACGGCATCGCACAGGGTAAGCCGCCTGCGCCAACTAGTCAATCAGATTTGTTCAACATCTTGGGTGCTGGTTCACCGGCCGCGCACCCACCAGGCATGCTACCAGCGGGCGGACCACCTGGACCAGCACCAGGCTTCAAAGCCACACCCGGCAATTTGCCTCCACACGTGCGCATCGAACACATTCTACAACACTTGCAGCACACGCCCGTGCAGGGTGCCTACAATGGGCCGCAAGGACATGTGAATGAGAGTGGCGCCAATGGACACCCACTGCAGACGGGTCAATCACCATTGCATCCACAATATGTGCCAATTGTACATAGCGGTCTGCCGCCACCACCGCCACCGCACGGTATAGCGATTGTTGATGGTCAGCCGGTGGCTTATGGCGGTTTTCCCGTAGTACCAGGTCTCGGGCAGCCTCCTCATGTGCCACATGCAGCACATTCGGCGAATGTGAATAGCAATAACAATAGTAATTTATTGCAACAACATCAGCCGCAGCCGGCGTCGCCGCCGCAGGAGCAATCGGCGAGTAGTTCAAACACATTTGCAGCGACTACGAGCGCGGTGGGTCTAACCGCGCATTCTACCGAACATGGCATACTGCCTGCTGTTGTCGCCCCAGCTTCTACGCATTCCAGTCAAACAGGTTGATTCATACATAACATAGCCATAGCAGTAGTAGTATACATACGCACACAAGCAGAATTTCATTAACCCTTAAACGGAAATAGGCGAAATATAGAAGCAATTGGCCGCACTAACTCATCACAGATATTTTTTTATAGAACTACCTCATTTTTCAGCCTCAATTAACTAACATAAAAACACATTCATTTGCCTGTCAACGCTTGAAAAACTTAATTGTAATAACAATGTAACAGTCTCATGCGTACTTCAATTCTTCAAACTAACTTTTCTATGTTTTAACAGCCTTGCTAACTAACACACAAACATATGCAATACGACCCAGTTTAGTGAACATAATTTGCTTTGAACTGGATATCAGGTCTCTAGTGGATAAAGTACTTGTCTTAGCAAAACACACACAAGTCCACAAAACCTCAGGAAATTACTTAAAACACTCAGGAAACCCCATTTCCTACTCGATGATACCCACAGCAAGTTTTAATTTCTATCTTTCTCTCTCTCTCTCGCCCTCTTTCACGCTTTTCCTAGGCTTCAACAATCTGCAAAGCGGCATTGAGGTACTCAATCTGGAAGCCATTGATCCGCGCACCATTCGCATAATATTTACAGTACCCCCAACCTATGTCAATCTACATGGGCGCGTGGAGCTGCGTTACACGAACGGCCCTGGCAACGATACCACAACGTGGGAGCAACAAATTTTCGCACCACCCGAAGATCTTATTGCCACCTCTCAGATGGAGTTCGATTTGCCCGGCTTGGAACCCAATTCACTGTACAAAGTCAAGATTACACTGATATTGCGTGATTTGAATGCACAACCGTCGAGTCCGATACTGACTGTTAGCACGCCAGCTGATCGTACGATTACACCACCACCACATATCTCTGATTATCGTCCCGACTTCAAGGACGTCTTTAAGCGTATTGAAGATCCCGAATTGAATGTTAGCGAAACAAACTCTACTTGGTTGCAGCTGACGTGGAAGAAGATCTCCGATGAACAGTTGGAATATGTTGATGGCATACAGTTGCGTTACAAAGAATTGACTGGTCAAATATACTCATCCACACCGCTGGTGCATCGCACGCTCACCACTTACACTATTGAGAATTTGCAGCCAGATACTGGCTATGAAATTGGTCTATTCTATATACCGCTGGCTGGGCATGGTGGTGAACTCTTGGCCGGTCATATGATTAAGGTGCGCACAGCGCCGAAAGTGGATGTATACAACTTCGATGTAACGGTTAATGTGACCAAGGTGAAGTCGCAGAGCGTAGAAGTGTCATGGAATGGTGTGCCTTATCCAGAAGACAAATATGTGAATATTTATCGTGCTATCTATCAGAGCGATGCTGGCAAGGAGGATTCGAGCGTATTCAAAGTGGCAAAACGTGATAGCACTACGGGCACATTGATTATGGATTTGAAACCAGGCACTAGGTATCATCTGTGGTTGGAAATGTATCTGACAAATGGCAATATCAAAAAGAGCAATGTGGTGAACTTCATGACGAAGCCAGGTGGCTCAGCGACGCCAGGAAAAACTGGTAAGTGCAGTGAAATTAATGTGATGGACACATTTTTGTAGGTAATATTCATAATTGCAAAATCCTTTTTTCTTCTGAAGTTTTTAATGCTTTCGAAAGGATGCATACATTCTTCAGGGACTTGGGTAATTACAAAATTTTTAATATATTTAGAAATTAGTGAAAAGGTAGAATTTATAGGAGTATTCAGATAATATCTCAAATTTAAGTTGGTCAACTACAGAAATAAATTCAGCAACCGATAGTATTAATATAATTAGGGTAGTTTGCGTTGGTCCCCCCTAGTTGTGGACACACGTAGACATGATAGAGGTCGTGATTTGTGATACCACCATATTTTGAACGGCAACCACTGCTCCGTTGAAGAAACGACGCGCGTAACCAAAAGTTCTGCAGCGTTTTTTTAAGTACAAAGTGTACAGTTCAAGAAGGATCAGGTGGTATTTTTTGTCTCTCTACGTGAATTCGGCCCTGTCAGGATGCCTGCCAAAAGTAAGTGCTCGGGCTTTAAAGCATAAGGTTCTCCTTTGACCGCCCATGAGCCCTCCTCCTCCTCCTGGGTCTGAGGTACCTTGGAATTGTGATTGTTCTTGTTTTCGCCTAATATTTGCCGAGCTGAAATGCGGTCCTGGAAGATTGAATGCAGCTGATCACTGACACTCCACTCGACCTCTCACCACTAATTACATTTCAAGCAAATTCTTGCTCGTCAGTCCGGCAGCCACGTTGTTTACCATAATGCCTCTGTAGCCTGATACCTATAAAAGTTTAATTACAAGGGCATTCCGATGCCATTGAGAGCGAGGTCCGGCATTCCCTGATCAATTCTGAGCGCTCCATGGGAAATCTCAATGCCCTAGCTATCTCTTAGGTATTAGAGTAAAAACTTATTTCCTTTATTTACGCCATACTCTTGAGCGATATGTCTAGTCAGCTGTGGTCCATCCCATAAAAAATTCACTGTTCCCCTTATCGCCACAAGGATGATTTCCTTGACTTAAAGTGTCATTCTGCGTCAGTCCCCAAAATGGAAATGGTCTGAAATGCTGATGAGGGCATGCCTTTGTATGCGCTCTAGCTTCTTAACCCGCCCTTATTCGCGCATTTGTTTTAGTACGTCGTTACTCGCGCGGTGTCGTATACACCCCAAGCCAATTTTAAAGCAATTGTTTCCTAGTTGAATGAGCGGACGCAACCAGCTTGTATCAGCTGATAAAGTGGGTCAATATACTGAGTTATTAGAGTATTCAGACACAAGTAGCAAAACAAATATAGCCGAGGGTTAACTAGGCTTAGATAACCTCGCTCTGGTTCTTGTAGGGTGTCTAGAAACAGACCCTAATCTGAATCTCCGCTATCAAGTCGTTTACGGCCGCGATACAGACCAGAGGCTAGAGTTCTATACTTTTCGGGATGTCTCTGTTCACTCTACGCTGCAGGTACGCGTTTTCACAATTAGCTGCGAAAGTTCTGCCACTGAACAAGTCGTAGATTAGCTTTATGAACTTGCTCTCAACCGCGAGCTTATCTCGTAATTCAACTATTACCTCCATCAGGACGTAGTTAAATCCCTCTCGGCGTCGAGGAAGATCTCTTTTGTAGCATCTTTATGCACGAATGTTTCCTCCACCCACTTCTCGATTGTAAGCAAAGCAATCTCCACAGACCTTCCACTGTTATAAGCATGTTGACCTCTAGATAGACGATCTCGAAAATGCGGTTTCTTATATGCAGGGCAATTATTCTCTCCAGCGCTTTCAGCAGAAACAAAAGTACTTTCACAGTAAGTTAAACATGAGATCCCTTCCTTCGATACTCCCGCCGCCCTTTCTAGCTTTTAAGATATGATGCCATACGGCCATGGAAATTGAAGGGTTATAACGAGTTTATTACACATGCCGGGCTACGATTATCCTGATCCCTTGCCCATATGGAGGCTTCCTCCTCACTGCTAATAGTCCAGTTTCCTAGTAATTTTAGCTCTGCTTTTGAGATGTTTTGTAACTTCTCGAATTGATGCGCTAGAGTTTCCCTGGTCTCCCATTCACGGCACTCCTGCCCCGGTCCGCATTAATGTTACCGATTTTTGTGGTTATCTCACTACATCCAGCCCATACTTTCGTCATTTTCGTTGTACAACTGTAACAGTGGCCTTTGAAGACTGTTCAAGAGTCAAACTGGTAACGCTTTTGGCAGTCTCATCTGCTATTTCATTACCCTATATTTCTTTATGTCGGGATACCGAATAAATATGCGGCCTTCTGTTTGCAGCCAGCATGCCAATGGCCTCCCGGCTGTGGAGGATGTTTTTCGATGAAATGCTATATAAGGTAACAACTTCCTTAATTGCCGCTTGACTGTCTATGTAAAATTATACTTTTGTGCGTGTTGGCTAGCTCTGCTGCTATCCACATTGTGAAAACCTCTTCTTGAAATATGCTGCAATCGTCAGGTAACCTTACAACCCGCCTGACGTTCAGTTCCTGGCCGTATGCTCCATCGCCCACTCCCGTTGCGACTTTAAAACCGTCACTGAAAATGTTTGGAGATCTACGGCTAGGTTTCATTCCATTGCGCCATCCCCCCTCCTTGGCACTTAAAGCCAGTTGTCGTATAATCTATGTTGCCTGTGATTCTTGCCTAAATTGAGCTGTGTTCAAAATTTAATTTCCCTATGGCCGCCAATCTACCTGTGGATTTAGCAGCGGTTGAAGTAGACCTCAAATCGGTATTCCACCAAAGCACCATAGAGTATTGTTGGTTGAGTGTTGCTGTGTAGGTTTTCCGCGATTAGGTAAGTGGGCGGATTCCTTTCAGAGCAGCACTGGGAGTTGATCTCAACCTTCTTCGTTGGGCCGGGGCATGAGTACTTTTTTGCGGCATTCTACCACACCAAAGCGCCATAGAATTGTATTGGTCTCTATATTGCTGTGTAGCAATGCATCCCGACAGGTGACCCCAAGGGACTCCCAGCACCATTTTGCAGGCATATAGGGCGTTATTGGCCTTCATTCCTCGCTATCTAAGACTACTCTCATATACCTTGTGTGGTATTTAATTCAAAGCTTGATGCTACCGAGCCGCGTGAGCCTACATACTTGGAGCTTATGGTGGCTGTCACAGAATCCACCGTAGTCCAATTTTTCGTGAAATCCACGAGAGTGCGATCACTGAATCTGAATTGCTGCGAACGCGTATATTCAAAATATGCGCTACGTTCGTAGCTATTCGAATTCAACGATAGCGTTTTCGTCGATTTCACGAAAAATCGGACTAGGATAGATTCTGTGTTAGCCCTGTTAATCTTCTTGTATCAGGACCGTATTTTACTTTTGTTCCCGAAATGCCAAAATTTTTAACTACCTAGATTTTGTAGGGTCGCATCGTCTGACTTTTTGTATTTTTAAGCCATTAACTTTGTTTCTCATCAATTTAGGAAAACTACTCAC